TGGAAGGCTTCATGGGCTTTCTGCATTTGGATTCTGCAGTGTTTGCCTGTTCTTCATGACAAAACTACCCCAGTTCTATCAGGTTGGATGGGGTCCAATAGTGAACGACAAATATTTTGCTGGAAGGTAAATTTCTTCCCCGGTCCCAGGTCCCTATAACCCTATAACTGCCCAGTATTTGGCTCCATCCAACCTTGCCCAATGTCCCAGCCATTTTCTGAGTCCCTGCTGATTAAAAGCATCCCCACAGCATGATCTTGTTACCACCATGCCTCCCTGGAGGAAGGGTGTTCCCAGGGCAATCAGCACTGTTGGCGTTGTGTCACATGAAGTTTTTAACATCAAGGCCAAAAAGTTCATTTTTGGTTTCATTAAACTAAGAACGTTTTCCCACAAGTTTATTGTGCCTCTTGCGTGCCTTTTTGCAAATTCTAAATGGACTTTGATATGGATTTGTCTTTCTTCTTGCCACTCTTCCTCTTTCACTCCAGCTCCTCCACCATTGGCCATTGGCCTCCTGGTTGCTTCTCTGACTAATGTTCTCCTTACTCAGTTACTAAGACTTGGTAGATAGTCTTTTCTAGGTAGACCTGAAGTAGAACCATATAATTTCCATTTTGCAAAAATGCAAACAATGCAAAATAAATAATAGTGCTCTGGGAAGTGTTCATAGTTTAGAATTTGTTTGAATAACCCAAGCATGATTAGTGCTTCTATAAAATTCATCCCAGAGCTGCTTTGATAGGTCTTCAGGATGTTGTCTACTTAGATAGTGCGTGCTTTCTAACAAACTCTGGCACCTTCTACAAACCAGTGCTTTTAATCTGAGTTTATATGGCTCTGGAGTTCTACACAGCTGGATTCCAGTCAAGTACTTACAGAATGTGACTTCTTGAGGTAGTGGGTTGCACCACAGCAATGTCACAACAAAGGGGATGAACACTTATGCAACCAGCAAGTGCCAGGTTTTTTTTGTTTACTCAACCTTTGTGCCACAAGAAAACCTTTACAGTGTTGAGTATTTTGCGGACATCAAGTGGTAACAATGTTCATTAAATCAATTCCAGTATCAGAAAATAACACAACAAGATGTAAAAAAGTCAAAGGGGAATGAATACTTTTGCAAGGCATTATATGGATCCTTTTCACATTCTGCCAAAACACCAGAAGGCAGCTTGTGAGTGCCAGCACCTTTTGACATGGCTAACTGGATTCCCACAATGCTTTCTCCAGTACATTAGAGAGCAAGAGACTTAAGACATTTTGCATCTTAAAATCTGCAGAATATTACAAACCTTCTGTTCCCTATGTCATCTTCATGTTTCCAACTGCTTGTCTGAAAAATGTAATTCTTCTGGGCCACAATTTCATAACGTGTTGCTATCCTATCCTGTCAAAAATTAACTTAAAATTGTAACCAAAAGTGACTTTCTGTTGCCACAAAGTACTTCTATCATGAAAGGCAGAGTATCCAATGCCTTTTACTCACTGTAGCCTTCTAAGCCTTACCCCACACAATTTCAGGAGAACTGAAGAGTAGTGAAGGTTACAGTGCATTCGGTGACTGAAAGTGGCAGAAGGTGGGCATCCTACTTTGTGAAAGCAGAACTGCTTTCTGCTAGTTAAAATAAAACTTTTTAAAATATATTACATTACTTTCACTAATGGACAAAGATTAATAAAGATGGCTTAACTGTGAACATTTCAAAATACAAGCAGGGAGTAATCAACTTTTTACTTCAGGAAGGACCCACCCTTCAATGATTTATTATAAAAATAGCAAAGTAATTGAAATCTGTTTCCTAAATTTGTTCCATAGTAAACTTGTTTCTCTGTCAAAAACAGGAAGGGTGTTTTATCTACAAAAATCATTTGTTTAGTATTGATTTGCTAGCTAGAAATGCATTAATAATGTTTATAAACCCATGCAGGCAGATGTTTTAATTTAGCTCTTATCTTGAGAAGGATGTAGGTTAAGAAAAGGTGGAGTTCATTGACTTATGGAAACAGTATTTTTAGTACAGATGAAGGAATGTAATTTGCCTGTAAAAACAATATTCTTTTCAACTAAGTATTCCAATAAGGCTTCACCTACACATGCATGTGCGCGCACACGCACAGTCTATGCAGCTGGGTCACATTAAGGCAAAAACTAGCCAGTCACTGAGTGGACCATTCCTCAAGAGAGTGGGCAACTGAAAGCTGAAGAAATGAATCAGTAGTTCCTATGTCCAGGATATTCAGGCACTAACCACCAAGGAAAATGTCTTTAGAATTAGCATCTTGAGTGACACCACCACCAGATGTTCAAAGGGTGCTTGGTTAAAGTCCTCAGAAATCAATTCAGAGTTTAAGTGAACAATTTACACACTGAGGTGGAATGATTAGAAATCATCTAAACATGGAAGCAGGTTGCTAGTGAAGGTCTGTATGAATTAAGATAAATTGAGTTGCCTAAGATAAATTGTGGCAATAGAATTTGCCTTATTCATCTTTCTGGGCTTAAAGGCCACTGAAATGTTTCAAAGACCCTGAAATACTACTGAAGAGAGGATCTGTCCCAAGTGCATTGGTACAACTTGATGAAAGATTGCCAGATTCAATTGGTAGAGAAGAAGAGAATGACACCACCTTAGCGAAGTAGCTCTGTCTGTTCAAACACCATTTTCAGTTTCCATATGGTCTCAACCCACTTCATCCATGCATCTGAGGTTGTAGGGAAAAAACAGTGCAGAGGTGCTTGAAAGGATAATGTCCATCTGTGTGCCAGATGAATTTGATTGCCTTCAGTGCTATTAGCAAGGCTCCCTTCGTCCCTCTTTGTTCTTTTTGGCTCTTTTCCTTGTCCTCTTTACACATTGTGTCTTTCTGCAAGTTAGAACCCTGGAGTCTGCTGCCCACTGTATGGCAAAAATTAAAATTGGCAGGGCTTCTCCAAGGAACATCTAAGATAGAGATTGTCTACTTGCTCCAAGGTTGCCACCTTTCCCAACGTAGCTGGTATCTTGTACTTGTTGGAAGAAACACCAATGTACCTAACTTATTTCACAAAATACATGAAGGAACTTAATTGTTTAAATAACAAAATACATTCAGGAAAGAAAAATCTTTGGACAGCACCAAGTTGTACCAGATGGTTAAAGAGAAAAGGTGGTGTCTAACTAGACAAGTGGACACTACAAAAGTAGTGTACAAGATTATAGAGTAGCTTGGAGATTGTTTGAAGCTGAACTTCATATGTTACTCCATTCTAGGCTCCTAATTTGGCCAACCATTATGACAAATTTGCAGACTATGCTTTGATCCTGCCCTCTAAACCAGATTGGAAGTGAGTTTCCAATTTTGATTTGGTGGGCAAACTCAAACTGCCAGGTTTTATGTAATGGCAAACTTTGGTTTACACAAACCAAGATCATTGAGAGCATCAAAGTATGAAAGGAGGAAGAATATAAAAGCCTGAGAGGATGAACTATATTTTGGTGTTATATCTGAACCAATCCTTGTTACACCAAGTGAAAATACAGCTAGTTTTGAGCTCAACATGCAAGTTATAAAACCTCAATTCAATTGTTGCTGTTTTCCTTTTTCCCACTTGAAGTTGTACATACTAATCGGTTGAAAGCTGGTGTGCATCTATGCAATAGCTCTGTATAAGCAAAGGGGCTAGGGACTTCTTTTTCTCAAAATGAAACTATTTCAACACAAGTAATATTATTAAGTCCAGTCCCTGGAATGTAAATGTTCCACATAAATGAACTGAGCATCTTAAAATAATAATTTTTGGCAGAGTCTAAAAATAGATATGGCTTCCAAGCAGCTGTTGCTGCAGCTTTTTGCAGGGATGAAACACTGTACTTTAGACCTGGACTAGTTCAATTTTGTAGCTGACTCTAACAGCAGCTGCCTCAAATCTGTACTTATTTTTAAACTCATTAATTTGCTATGCTCTGAAAGGCCTACTTCTGTGCCATGTGAAATGCTACCTTCCCAGTAACAGATCCTAGAAACAGGTAGATCACAACATGATTTAGAAATGGAACAGAATTTACAAGATTCATTGTTTCAATAAACTAGCTTCCCAGACCTTTTGGATTACAACTTCCACCATCCTTTGCACAACATGGCTAATGATCAGGAATGATGGGAGCTGTAGTTCAGAACATATTGTATGCACCAGATTAAGGAAAGCTGCAGTGACTAGTAGATGAAAGCTGTCATGCAATGACCATCCACTAGATTCTAACTTACCCACTGTAACTGTTAGCAAATATTCACAAAGCTATCACATCAGAGCAGTTTCTACTACATCTACAGAGAAACTTTGCTAAATAGTAAATAGAGAGTGTTAAGGAATATGAAAATGAGAAACTAGAGCAACAATCTCAGTATCAGTCTCTGTGAAAGTACAATCTCAGTATTGGTCTCTGTGCTACCCAGCATGAACCAAGAAGTATTACTAATGTTACCAGTACTACTAAGGATAGACTCCACCATTCCTTGACACAACCATTCATTTTTGCATAGTGTTTTTGTTGGTTTGTGCATGTGCTTTTCTATTATTTTTAGGCAAACTTCGAAAGCAGAATGCTTTGATGGCTCCTGGATACAAGCCTTAGTGGAATGGTATGTGAAAGAGTCCCCATGTCAGCTGCTAGTAGCATATTAGTCACTCTTATAGGGTCATTGATCCATTAATCCACATGTTGTTTTTTTTAAGAATTAGGAATACCATCAAGCAAGGCAAACAAACCTTGGTTCTGCATTTTAAAGAAAAGCTTTGCAACTGAGCAAGTGGAAACACTGAGGGGGGCAGGAGGTAGTATGGCCCAGACAACCCATGGTTTGTTGATATGTGGAAAACAGTCATCAACTAGCATAATTTTACATTATATGGTACCATGGAAAGCCTTAAGTAGTCAGGTTTTATAGCAAATTGAATTCTGAAATAAAAACACAAAGAATATTTACAGAAGATGAGATTTTAACAATGTGAGGCTTACTTGTTCAATCTCCTTCGTCTTCGCAGCAATTGCCTTTGAGCGACTAACATGCTGACTATCTTCAAACAACTCATTATTTTCTGTAATATTAGTGCCTGTTTCTTCATGATGTTCAACATAACATGGTTCTGTGGATGCAGCCTTTAGAAAAGAGATAATAATTTTATGCAGCCAAAACATACTTTATTAAGCATGTTTACATACATAGTTATCCTGGTAGGAGTTGTGTATTTCAAGTCACCTTATATAGCACAAACTAAAATGATCCCATTTGCTATATCAAATGGAAAGGTATTTATAAAGAGAAATTCAGTCAGATTTAGAAATGCTTTGTTAATCTTTTGGTGAGGGCTGAAGATTTTTGACTTGTACCCCAACTGCAACACTAGTTAGGGATATCAAACTGGTTATCTCAGCAAACAACTATTCAAATTGTGTGTACATGGGAGAGGAGTAAGAGAAATGAACAAAAAAAAATAAAAAATAAAATGGGTACAAATCCAAAAACGGTAAGATGGCACACAAGATAATGTAAGCAGTGTTCCCACTGCAAAGAAGTCTGGAAAGAATAGACATTACACTTATGTAGTGCTGATTGGCTGGTCTTTAATCAAAGCCACCCCCTTCTTCCTTGGAACGTGGTTGGCTGGCCAGCCCTTGTCTTAGTAACAGCCTCCTCCCAACCTTTCCTGGATCAGGTTTTTAAATAGTTAAACAGCAAATAAAACCCTGAACAAATGTTTGACCAGATAACCATATGACCAGATAAACAAGGGCTATTGATAAAGACAACAAATGGGGACAGTTTCCAGAGGGTAGTCATGTTAGTCCTTTGCAGAAAAAAACAATGGAGTCTTATAGCGCCTTGTTGTTGTTATGTGCCAGCAAGTCACCAAAGCCAACCCTATGAATGCCCTCCAAAATGTGCTGTCCTTGACAACCCTGCTCTGTTCTTGCAAACTGTAGCACCTTATGTTATTCTAACATAAACTGTTGCAGACTATAGCCCATTCATTAAATCCATCTGATGACAACATAATGCAGGGGGAGTGAAAAGATACTGGACCTGGGGACTGTACATGTGCATAAAGAGCAAAGGCAGAAAGGAGCAGAGATCACACTACAGGGAAAAAATGCCTTTCTTTGAAAGTATGTCTGTATACAGTTTAAGGCCTTATTCATACAACATATTAAAAGACAGTTCCATATGATATGCACAAAATGAAGAAAGGTTAAGCAAACTTTGGGCTCACACATTCCTCCTTCTGCCTGCCATGCCCAGGTGGTTGAAAAGCTTTCACTTCCACTTTTACGTAGCCACAGCTGGCCACATCATCCAGACTAGGGTCTGTTAATAAAATTGGCTATGACTACTTTAAAAAAGCCAAACCGACAGTTTGGCAGTGTGAAACCTTCCAAGTCCCTCCTCTTTAAAAATGGGAAAGTGGGAAGGAGCCCAAAGTTGTCTCTTCTTTAAAAAAAAGATGCTCCCATGATACACACAAATATTTGCACCCCTTATTTTTTCAAAAAAATTTTTTGTCACATTTGTGTAAACCAGAGTAGTATAAGTAGAGCTGCAGAGAGCTGGGACAGGTACTGTGAAGGGGAGGTAACTCCTGGCAAAATCCAACCAGTACTCACCCTGTACATTGCCCATGCCAGTCTGCAGATGAATTAGTGCTCTCTTTGGAATGCTTTGATGGTTGTCAGAACGTGATCAAATGGCTCCAAAGCCAAGAGTGATGTTAACTTGCATAAGTGGGATGACACCTCAAACATACTCTTCATGACAAGTTGTTTTGGGGGGGGGGGGTTGGAGGGAGCTCATGTTTCATGGTTCCACACTTCTACTCTTGTTCCCAAGAGTGTAACATATCAGGACCATGCAAAATGAGGAGTACAGGGGCAAGCACTTTGGCACATGTCAAAGGTGGGAGCTCCATTTTTAAAGTGAGATTTACAAGGTGTTAAAAACATTCTCTTTTGGCTAGTAACAGCTCAGATAGATGTTAAATAGAGAGCTTCCACTGATATACTTTTTACTTGCATGTACAGGATCCCTGCAAGTTTCACACTGGCAGCTCTAGTATATTTCCCTGCCAAGGAAAAACTCTGTAAGTCCTTATACGTTCCACTTTAAAAACAGAGCCTAGAAAGTGGGGTGGAGCCTCAAACACCCCTTTCATAGTCAGATCTTTGGGTGTTTCAGAAGGAGCTCATGTGTCCGAACAATTCAGCTAGTATCTCAGGGACAGGCAAAAGCAGGGAAAAGTGTAAAAGTGGGAGCTCCCAAGTTATGAACAACCAGTGCTTACAAACAAACTGCCATGCAGAATATTAATCTACAAACTTGACTGCAAAAATCATTATTGCCAGAGACAGAGAGGAAGTGAAAGGAGAGAGAAGGAGGCCTCCAAAGCATGCCTTCCTGTGCTGCCCATCAGGAAAAGGAAAACCTTGCTGCAAAGAGGAAGTCCCGGTGAGCTTGGGGCGGGGGGGGGGGGGGGTGCAGGTAGAGATATTGTGGGTTTTCCACTTTCATGGGGACTCTGTACCATTAAGTCCTGCGAATGTGGAAGGCCAACTGCACGTGATCCAACTTACATACAAATTTGACTTAAAAATGGTATTCTGTTTTCTCAGGAATGGAGCTTATTCATAACCCAGGGACTGTCTGTAATCACGTTGCTTATCTTTAAGCTTTACAGAGAATTGTAGCACCTTTTTGCATCTTCAATGGAACACCAGCTACAGCCTCCAGCTACAGCCTTCTACTATTACATGCTGTGAGTTGTTACATTACTAATTTGGCAGCAGGTGAAAAGCACAGTCTGCTAAATAGTTTATATGGCCAAATATCTATTAGTATTTTTACTTACATCATACTCTGAAATCTCAGGTATGTTGCTTGTTTCAGCTTTCTCCACTTTCTCAGCTGCCCACCTACTTGCAGCCTCTGCAAGTTCCTTTTCTGATAACCTGTTACTTTTGTCCAGTGCCTAAAGGGGGGGGGGGGGGGGGAGGAAAGTGTGGGTTTACATGTAATCTTGCATACAATAACATAGGTGGAGGGAGGCTGAAAGTAACAGTTTAAGTAACATAAAGAGTACTTGATAAATATCGCCCTTATGAAAAGGATCATCAGGATTAAGAAAGTTGGATAATTTGAAAAGCAAGTTCAGGAAGACAGAAATTGAATGGGAGATTGAAAATATACAGAAATTCCAATTCCTCAACAGTAAAGCAATCTCAATGATACCAACATAAATTTATATCCCACCTTTTCCCCCTCTTTGCAAGGAACCTGAAGCAGCTTACAATATTCGCTTCCTCTCCATGTTAACAGTGTTGTGAGGTAGGGTTAGGGTGAGAGTCAGTGACTGGCCCAAAGTCACCCAAGCTGGGGCTGAGCAGCAACTAGAGCCTGGATCTCCAGAGTCCTGGTCCAAGTCTACCCAGTACATTACAAAGGCTCTCTGCAATGTTCCCTACCTCCTGAATCTTTAGGAGACTAGTAGCATTCTCATTCTCTCTTTCATGACTGTATACTTCCCTGTCCAGAAACAATGTTCAAGTTTGCTAGAGATCTTGACAGCTTGCAAATGAGAACCTAAAACAGAGAACCTGGAGAACCTAAAAGCTTGGGGGAATCTGAAAAAGGGTAGGAAGACAGAATAACCAGGGCAATACAAAAAAACCCCCAACATCCTAGGAGATCATACCTGAAAGGGGTATAACTACCACCATCCCTTTCAGAGGAAAAAAAGCCTTCACCACTTTCAGTTAGGAACTCAGCGAATGACAGCTGTCAAATGTACACAAATGTGCACAAGGCGATATGCAGCCATGCTTGGTCAAAGTCCACCGATGTTGCCCACTACACTTTTATAGCAGACACCTACCAGGACATTTATCAGGCAAAGCATTTTGGTCCTTCAAAGGTGCATACCTGTGTAGGCTGATTTAAAAAAATGAACGACCCTGACTGAAATTTCACAAATTTGTGCCACTCCACCCCTAAAAAGAAAGGGAAAAAAGAGGTAACAAGCCAGTGGCTGCTTCCAAAGTGGAAAAGGTCTCATTGATGATGGCATGGACAACGAGGACAAGTGTGGCAAGTGGGCTGGGTTGCCACTCTTGCCTAGGAGCTTGCTTGTTGCTTCTTGCAAGCCATGGTGAGATTAGTCTCCTAGGTTTAAACAACACAACCCATCATGGATTCAGCAATCCCTAGATTTGTCATGGTGGCTCAAGACAAGTCACCCTATAGGAAATGGCCTGGGTTCCGGCAACAGAACAACATACCACTCCTGGTTATCCATGATGGGTGGCCCCGCAAACCCACTCTGTAACTGGATTGACACAACAATCCACTCTAGCTTATAAGCTATGGAAGATTGGTATATTTTTGGCCTATCAGCCATTGTGACAATCCATGGTCTATAGAAGGGGTTATTTAACCCATGATGGATGGATGGCACACCAACCAAACCTAGGAGAATGATCCCACTCTGGGCTGAAGGAAAAATGAGCTGCTTAACAGGAATGTCAAACTGCTCTTTCTGCTCTTGTCAATGTAGCTTGTGCTACTGTGAGTGACAGCCCCTAAATAAATTCCCAAGAAACATTCTGGAGCACACATTACTGGCTTATCACACTTTCTTTGTGGGGGGAACAAAACAAAAGTGCTCCAGTTTGTTAGGATTTTTTTAATGCTCCTTTTCAGGGGGAAAAAGAGTCCTCACTTCCCATGATGAACTGTTGAGCCCACTGGGGGTGGTGTGTCTTACTGTGTTATGCTAACTGCCTTCATCTCCTGACAATCTATACCAGAACCATGGTCATTCATTGCCATACAACTGCTTCACATGAAACTACCTGTTCACAGCCCATTACAAACTTTAATCAGTATTTGAAAGTTAAGAATGCAACAAAATTTCTCCACCCCTGTTAAACCACCCATCACCAGTAAGCCTTTTCTGTGAAGAAACTCAGCCAACCCCTCCGAGAAGATATCAACAAATGTTGATTTTTTAAGAATCTACATTACTGATGCACAGAAATCTGAATCTAAAAAAATGATTTGCACAAATTTCAAATCAAAAGATCAGAATGTGACCTAGATTTTTTCCATACTTTTTAAAACTGAAGTCTCACCTTTGAGGGTGGCACTACTGTAGTCCCTGATGGAGATACATCTCTTGAGGTTTTCAAAGACTGAGATGAAGACCTCTCTTTACCTAAATAGACAAAATATTATTACAATCAGAAAGTTACACATGGATTAAGGCCTTCTAGCACATTTTCTTCAACGACTTCTTCCTTGTAAACATGTAAATTTTAGGAAGGCTTCCCTAAGAAGGAAATTAAAGATTTGGGACCTAAGAAGGGAGAGGAATAGCTTCATAGACTTAACCAGTTGGAATACAGAATGAAAATTCATTATTCAAATTTAAAGGATAAGACTTATTTGGATTCTTTTTAATGTAATGTACTTTTGCACATTTAATATTTCTGAATCACCTTTTTACCAACCGGGCTTTATGCCTGTATGTGGAGTACTTCTAAACCAGCTCAGGATTGGACCTGAAGTAATTACCATAGAAAGGTAACACAGATGAAATGAATGCAACAATATCACAATATACCTTTTGGTCTCTTGAGAGTCCCATACTGCTCATCTTGGACCCTGTACCCAAGACTACCTAGCTTTTTCTAAATATGCAGTACTGATGCCAGTATTTCATGCTTTCTAGACATTGGTATGTCCAATTCTCCCCAGTGAAGTCGAGCTCATGGTATTTTCCTGGAAGAAAGTGGGGTAGGTGGTTTTTGACAATTCCTACCATCCACAGCCACTGGTCCACTTCCTATGCTGTCCCAGAGGGCTCCCTGACCTTCTGAAGCAGTTTTTCAAGAAAGCACAAGAAATGGGAAGTTAAACCTGCCTCTTTCTCCTCCAATGGCATGAGCTGACAGGGTCAGAGTATTTTCCAAGAATGGAAGGGGCCTTCCATTCATGTAAGAGCATGACTGGATCCAACCCATGGGAGCCTATGTATACTCATGTGCATTTCTATCATTTCAGTTAATAATCTGAAAATTCTGGACACTGGTTCACACTGTCCAATTCCTCCAAACAACCTTTTACATGACTACCCAAAAACACTCAAGTGAAACAGGCTATATGTGCATCTATGCTTGGTCCAAGCATAGATGCAGTAGCCAGCTCCCCAACTATGCAGTGCTGTACACACAAGCATTCACACAAGCTAGTAGCACATGCATGAACAGAGAGAAACTTGACAGGCCCCAAAATTCAGGAGTTCACAGAAGTGCAATGAAAAACCGCCCACTTAACAGTTTTTATATCAACTAAATCAGGTTTTCAACCTTTTTATTACTGTGGACCACAAGGATAAAAATGATAAAGCAGGGATCACTTGCTGCTGTTGGACATGGCCAGAGTTGGCATCCCCTACAATTCTCTCTCTCTTACACACAAGGATAGCCTTCCCCAGCATCTCAAATAAGAAGCGATTCCCTTTCCCTTTCTCTCAAACACACATAGTCTTACATTTCTCACAGAGCTTCTCGGTCTCTCTCACATTCATTCACTTTCCTCCCCTCCATCTCATCTCAGAATGCAGGAATAGGAAGGTTTAAACATTTCCCCCCACCATCCAGATCTTACCACGCATCCCTCCTCCTCACTGACTGGAGTTTTTCCCTTGCCAATCTGATGGACAAGTTGGGAGATGCACAGAGATGCCTCTTCCTGCACATTGGTGTCCACACTGAATTGTCAGTCCACTGTGATTGGCATAAGGAGAAAGGGACTGAGGGAGAGTAATCTCCACTGGATTTCCTTCCTTCAGGCTTAATCACCCTCTGGCTAATCAACAGAAGCTATTAGGTGGGCTGGCTCCAGCCTGAGGGCAATGGCGAGAAGAATATGTGGAAAGAAGCATTACAATGTGCCTTCTTCCCATCAAAGTCCTGTTCCTCTCAACCTGTTGAACAGCTGGGCAATGGGGTTCTAGAGAGGGAGGGAACTGTGAGTCTTGGGCATATGAGACTGATAAATGAAAGTTAAAAATTGCATTGCCTAAGTGATGTGAAATCCTTGCTCAGTTTTTAAAAGTTTTAATGCAGTTGCCATGAGCAAGGTTGTTTGGGATAGAGGGGCAGGTGCATGTGGTTTTAGGGTGCTGGTACTATTCGTTTCTTTTGTTGCATTTCGCCTTTTTTCATTTTTTCTTTTTACAAATGGCTTCCTTGCCATTGGTAAAATACTATTTCAGTTCATCATGCTACACTGTTATCCTATCAATTTAAAAACTATGCATGAGTAGTGGTTTATGAAGTTAAACTTGTTTTACACTTTTTTACAAGGATAAACTATTTAAAGTGTAATATAAAGTGCCTTTTTACAGTAGAGATGTTCCTCCTCAGATTCAGGGGTAGTACCATTTACAATATACTGGAAGCATGATTTCATTCAGTTTGATCTCTACTTAACAACTTTTTGAATTATTTGTTAAACTGCAAAGATTTGCAACTGATTATGTCAAGTCATTAACACTTTGGGGAGGAGATGACCTTTGAGGTCTCTTCCAGCTTAATGATTCTATGTCTGGAAATGTTATTTATTGATATTGCTTATAGATTAGATTTCAAGTTCTGTTTAGTATAACATTTATATTCTGACATTACTAAACATTTTTGCCTTTGGTTTGAAATATATGTGCTTGCTGGTATTCCAAATACCAGATGAGTTAAGCAGGTCCTAGCTATTTTAATTAAAATGTAAACCTTTACAGATTATTTGTGGAAAATTAATTATACAAAATTCTAAGCTCCTGGACATCGTAATAAAACAACCTGAATATTAGAATCACAAAAGCAGATCATTCAGTGAGCTGCTGCTGTTTGATCAATTTTGTTAAAAGGCCATTCAGGCTATAACCATTCAGGTTGTGAGCCGCCCTGAGGCTTCGGCGAATGGGGCGGCATAAAAGTCTCCTAAATAAATAAAATAAAATAAATAAAAATAAATAACAAAATACGTATTTATTTAAAACATATTTATACTATCTTTTACCAATTCTAAGGCAGCACAGAATAAACTACCAGTTTTAAAACACACTGAACTAAAATAAATCAACCACCATAATAAAATACAGATAATAAGAATTGCAAAGCAAATAAACATTATAAAAATTAGAATGCCTAGGTAAATAAAAATATTTTAAGCTAGTGCCAGAAAGACTACTGGGTGGGCTCAGTGAGCTGCTGTTTAAGGGTAGAGGGATTTGAAAACTTGGCACACTACTCAGATCTCCAGAATCACACATCTGCTTTGTGATTTCAGATCACACTTACAATATGAAAAAGTCTTGGATTAGGGCCTTCATGGAAATATCTGCATTACATATTTTTATTTAATAACCATAACTAAATAAATATTGGCAACCATCTTGGTTGGTAAGGTCCATATTCACATGAAACCTAGTTTTCTATATCTTTACAATAAAATTTGCAACCCTCACAGTAGTAGCTTAGATTTATTTCAGCAGAGATATCTGCCAAGTGGATAACAAGCTATATTATCTATTATCCAGAAAAAAGGTTGCAACGACGAACTGCAAGAGACTAAACAATATTCTTTATAGTTCTGACCCATATAAGCACAATAGGCAGTTCTATTATATTGCTCCTTCACAGTCTGAAGTTTGAGTTTGAAGTCTAGCAACTGTAGAAGAACCCTTGTGGTAAGAACCTAAATCTGATCCTAACAAGGACAGATCCTGCTGCCCTGCTCAGTCTACTCATATGCTGATGCAATGCGTCTTTTGTTTAAAAGTAGACTTAACTTTAAAAAAACAGGCTCAAAAACTGGTTTCTAGAAGCACTAATATTTTCTCACATCACAAATATCCAAGAGTTTGAATACACAATGTTCTTCTCATGCATCCCCTGAAACAAGTTTTGGCCACTTGAGATAACATTTTTTACCTAAAAATTCTCAGAACAAGGATCAAAAGGTCCTGAAAAATCCCTTTGAGGTTTTCTGCCATTTACTTTTACTGCTGACAGATTTCCAAGATTCAGTCTGTTAAAGAGAACCCCAGTATATTTATTTGAACCAAAATCTGTTTGTCCAATTGCCATTTTGAACAATACCAGTAACTTAACCTATTAGCTTCTTTTGAATGCAGTAATACCCAAACCTTTTTCAACAAGGTATATAAAACGAACAGTATGTGCTTAAACTTCAACTGAAAGAATATTCCCGTTAATCCAAGAGCAATGAACTGAACTCCCACATATGTTAATTTATTCATTTATTTTCTATTTCTACTCCAAACATGGGAAGCTGCAGACGATATCAAGAAAAAGAGGAACCCATGGTGCACTGAAGGATGCTGTTAAACAGTGAATTAAGCACTGAATTAAGGGATTACATCTAATGGTGTTGCTCTGGTGACAGAAGGCTCTTGATCCAGTGGAAGCTTCCATTAGCAGAAAAGGGAAGGAAGTGACTTTTGCCAATTTTTCTCTTCTCACAATACTCCTTCTTACCTCCAACACTGTTCGAAGAGTCCAACATTCAGGAGTAGATTTGGATGGCAGGGTCTGCAGGGAAAATTTGGCCAAAAGAAAATGGCTTCCCTCAGAGTTCTGCAATGGGAAATATCTCCTGGATCTTTCCATCAACAGAGGAATACCACTGTAGATAACCCAATATATCTGAGGGGGAACGTATGTACGTATTTATCATGAACATTTTTCTACAACTATTTTTGCAAGATGTTCATCATAGACAAAAGCAGAAGAAAAAACAAAAGAAAGATTAAAAGAATTGGTTCACTATTTTTAAGACTATGATAAAGAGGTACATCCTAACTTTCCTGAAGGCCAAAGGAATGAGGGTCTGTCATAATTCTACAGAAAATTCATTTGACATTTGGGAATGATACAGAAGAAAGACCTTTCCAATGTGCCAGAAATCAGGTCTCTGCAGGCAGTGGTTTCTTCACAAGTGCCTCTCTTGCAGATAATAACCAGACAGGTTCATAAGACATCAGCCAGTTCCTGAGATAGCCAGGCCCAAACAATATAGAGCTTCCTACACGTAGAACTAAAGTAGGAGAACAACTGGAAACTACTGCAGATCTCCCAGTATGAGTATAATACAATTTCATAATGAGTACTCTTCCAGAGGGTAGTTGCAACATTTTGCCCACTTGAAACATCTGGAATTTCTCAATGCAGTTATATTGTCTAGATGGGATGTGAACAGAGGTATGAATAGCCGTTGCAAAAGCAGACTCAGATAAGTTTGGAGCTAGCACACTAAATGCAATTGTGCAACTGTCTTACCACTAGAAAATCCAGAGACTGCACAGATCAAAGAGTACTCCAAAGCTATGAACCTGATCTCTCAGAAGAAATATAACACCTTCCAGAACAGACTGAATTCAAATGCAATCTCTTCCTACATCAACTGGTTCATTCAAGTGTAGTTAAATATAAATTAAATCTTGTGCATGTAAATAAAGCATTCACAATCATGTATGCACCAATTTGGTCTGAACTTTCTGCAGTCACCCAAGTTGTATCCCAGAAGTACAGTAGGCAGTTCATTAATTGAATGGCATGCTATGTCAGAAAAAAACCCCTGAAAATATGACAGCAAGTGCTGTGATGCACACAAAATAAAATCTAGGCCCACCTAAAACCGGGAATACTGTTTGTAAGTCAGTCATTCAACCTCACAAAAGCTAGCAGAACTTAACAGAGTCCAGAAAGGTAATGGAGTATCCACCATACAAAGTGGATCCTGCAACTCTGATTACAGGGTTGGATTTTTTTTCTGGTTTAGAAAAATATGATAGAAACTTGTAAGAGTATTAGAGAAGAACAGATCACTTTACAAATTCACGAGAACTTTGGGGTGACACAGTCTGAATTAACTGTGGCTTTAGAATCCACCAAACCAAGTATTTTTTCCATGCAAACATATGGATTTCATTGCCAGACAACATGATGGTAGCCACTAGCAGAAATAACTTTGAAAAGGGTAATATTTATAATCAGTGGGTCTCCAAATGTGTCAAGCATAATACCTAGAAACTGAATTTCTTTATTCAGGAGGGTATACTGTATTTTTCTGTGTATAAGACAATACTTTTTCTTAAAAATATTTATCTAAAAATGGAGGGACGTCTTATACACAGGGGCCTGAGAGGAGAACCGCGGGCGCACTGGGAGGGGAGACTGGCGCGATCGTAGGCGCACTGGGAGGAGACTTGTGTGATCGCGGACGCGCTCAGGGGGAGACTAGTGCAATCACAGGCGCGCTCAGGGGGAGACTGGCCCAATCGCAGGTGCACTCGGGGGGAGACTGGCGCGATTATGGGCACGCTCAGGGGCGGGGAGACTGGCGCAACTGCAGGCGTGCATGTGGGGAGGTGGCAAGCACACACGCACAGGGGGAGAGGCAAGTTGGTGGGCGGGCGCGTGCACGGGGAAACAGCAAGGCAGTGGGTGCGTGCATGCGTGGCACCAGCTTGCTCGCTCAGACATCAGTAAGAAAAGTGGGGAGCATCCTACACATGGGGACATCTTACAGATGGAAAAATACGGTACTTCCAATTTTATCACAGTCTGATGTCAAACTGAAGTTATCCCTATCAGGTGCTATCTGTGAAGTTCCCAGAGTCACACTACCAAAAACAAAGGTGGAGCTTTGGTGGACTGAATCAAGAAGCCTCTCAAATTTATACTTGCTTGTGTAGAAGGGCCCAGATCAGTATGGAACATGGGATTTAGCTTTCCTTAGTTGATGTAATAGAAATTAGAAGTACCTCTGATGATGCTTGAGAACCCCCAAGGAGCTTACTTTTCCTCTGGGCCGGGGTTCTACACCCCTGTTGTATTCAGAAGAACTCAACATTGGCTCACTTATTGATCTTCATCATGAATCCTGTATTACCTTGTTGGGAAATATTTCTTTTATGTAAAGATGACATACTTCTGCTATGCTGGGACTGATGCAGTGCATAGGCTTTGCTTCTGTCAGGAGAATAACTTCTGCTGCTGACACTGGAGCCGGATCTGCTATGCGGAGAATCCCTCCTGCCGACTGATGATTCCCTGAAGTACGGTGAATCTCGCTTATGTGGGGATCGATCTCTTGCATAATTAGGATACACAGGTTTTCGTCGTGTGCCATCTCTGATGTCCCTTTAAAAACACAGCAATAATAAATAAAACAGCTCCATTCAATAGATTTCAAAATCAGGAAATACATAATCAGGCATTCAAAGCAACAATATATTTTCCACTAAGCTTTCTTCTCCATATAATAGTAAGATTTATCAGTTATAACTTAACAAGATAACTTGTTATCACTTATAACAGAAACTGGATTTAAAAAAACAAATTCTCATCAGCTCTTCCTGTAATGTTTAATATTTAGTGGGCTAAAAGTTTATTCAGATGAAATGAGCCAAGTCAGGAGATTCAGCACAGGAGATACAGTAAGACTTTAATGGGTAGTCTCAGGCATAAGCACTGTACACTTGGTAAATCACATTCTCATGGGTTTGGAAGTTTTTTGTTCTATGGTTACATCTAAAAGGTTTTAGAACAAGCATAAAGAGCCTCTCTTGGCGGAGAGGCCACATTTTAGGAATGGGAAGGGCTAAGGACAGAGCATGGAGGAACAAAATAAATTTTGGACATTTTGCCACAAAGCATAGAAAATCATGCTTATTCTAGCCATGTCTACTCAGAAGTAATACCCTTGAATTTTGTTTTAAAGGAAAGTGTTTTCACCACAATAAATAATGGACCTTGTATTCAAGCAAATTTTCATGTTTTGTATTACTTTATCCTACAAAATGGTTAGATGGCAATTTCCTAAAGGAAAACATTATTTAACATAAGCTAGTGTGGCTTTGTTGGCATTCTGATTTTTCCTTTCTAGAAACAAGATTCCTTGGGCAGGAACTTGAGAAACTTTTGTTGATTTATGTTCTGTTTTTATATGATAATCAATTTTAAAACAATTAAAGCACAACTCCAACCATTAAAAGATCTAACAGCCAAAATTAAAGTTGCACCTGCACATTAACTAAAGTAGAAGAAAAAGCCACACAACAATAATAAACTAAGTTTCAAACCGTGAAAACTCTCATAAAGTTAACAAGTGTGGAAACTGACACCAACTACATCTAGATTAGGAATGTTCATTCCAGCCAGGAAATGCGTAAATGGGAACTGAAAAGTTTTCACATCCTCTCCAGGCTTTTACAACCATTATATTGCCACGCAATAAAGGGAAAATATTTAAAGTAAACTGGAACACAAGTTATTTTACAGCTTTACTTTTGTCTCCTTGTAAGTATTATGCTTTAAGTGCATGACCTGAAGACAGCCACACACAGATACAGCAGCTGAATTAAAGGTAAATGAAGAAAAAGAGCCCTCTAGTGTACATAGTGGAGGATCTTCAACAGCAAAGAAAAGCTTAGCTTTTTTGTGCTGCATTTCTGCAGGAGTCCAGCTAACAGGATACACAAGCACCACTGTTTATAAAAACATATGGATGCATTTCCCAAAGATACAACTTTGTCTTTTTAGAATAATATAGCATCTAGAAACTCTAAAATAAAAATAAACACCAGAAGCATATTCCTGCTTTGTAAAGCATTTCACTAGTGAATGCCTGCACCATTGTCTACAAAAAAGAAACAGTTTACAATCTCATTCTAACACCATTTCATTACAGTTACTTAAAGACAGACTCTGTGGCTTCAGCATCAAGCCAGCATTTTTTCTCCCCATTTTGCTTAACATCTAGGCTTCTAAAGAGTACTACAGAACTTAAATGTAGTCATTCTTTTGTGACATTTGGGTTGATAGGACTTTCAGATCTCCTAAAATGCAGGAACATGTGTTTGACAAGTTATATACCAACTTGAGGACTAAGGCCAACCACTATGGATGGTCACTAGAGACCAGAAACAATAAGGCAAGTTCTTGGCTTGGATTCTTCCTCCTCTTCTTCCTAGGTCTTGATACTACTACCCATCAGGAGCTGCTGCCAAGGCAGGTAGGAAAACAAAACAAATTCTGATGCCATTACCTATACTGCTAATTTCTAACACATCAGCAAGGAAGCCCAGCTCTGTGTAACATTTGCCTGGCCTTCCCACTGTAAAAGAGATAACTTGTCAATTCAAATTAACCTTATTTCTTCTGCTGTCATCTTTTTTCCAAATCCAGTTTGGAATCCAAATTCCATACACACAGGGCGGGAGAGGGGGGAGCAAAGTAAAAAGTGAGGTCTGGCAGTTCTGGTATCTCACTTCTCTACATGTATCATACTACAACTGCTACGGCAGGAGCTAGACTTGACAATTCCCACACCAGAACTGTTCTAAGAGTTAGATCTGGCAACTCTATGCCCCCATGGTTCTCTAGGCCTGAAATTGCCTTTCTTTGGCCACATGGTAGTCCCTTGCATTAATAAGGATTTGTGTTGCTACCTTCTAACTGGCAGGACCAATATAGCTTTAAAAACCAAAATAAAAGCTACAGCTTTCCCCAGCAACATGATGAGATGACCCTTTTACAGAGTGGGGTGGAGAGGCAACAACTCTTGCCCTATGTCATATTGTCCATAGCTCATGAGAACTTTTTCTCATTTCAATTCCATGCCTCCACCAAGCAAAATTAGTTCCTGCTTTGTGATTAGCCCTAGCCATCCTGACCCCAGCTAGCACCTTGCAGCACTCAGGACTTTGTCTGGGAGACCACAGAATCATGTGGCTTCCCAGTTCAAAGGAAATGCTTATTTCTACAATGGGGCAGGTTCGTAAAGCTACGTGCCATGAGATGCAATGACTTGCCCTGTTCCAGAATAGAGCATTGGTGCCAGTTTCTGATTGCTTCAGGCATAGCTAGTTCCTTTTGAATAACTGGTCTGTTCTGCTAATGTGGAGGCAGCATATATTTACATAAATTAATTACATTTTAGCAACAAACATATGTATTTACATATGTTTATATCATTTTGACAATTCAAGAAAAATTAAATTTGCTCTTCAACCTTACATGTACTTGAACGATTACAACAGAGTATTTTTTGTAAGCACACTCAGCATGAATTAGCCTAGTTTTCCAATGGAGCAACTAAAAATTCTTTATCACATTCATTATAAAATATTGTCTGCATTTACGGATTGGTTTTTTATGTAAGGGGCCACTTAAAGATGCTAAAGCATAATCTGGTTGATCACAGATCTTAATGCAGACATTTCTGAAACCTGGAATGTACAATATGAATAAAATACATTTTATTTTAATAGAATGCTAGAAACTAGAAGGTTGCAGTATCAACTATGGATATACAGTAGAAGCAGAGCTACTGAGAAAGAACTGAAATATGTTTAACATCATTTTTAACTGTTCACTGTTTTTAATCAGACAGTTCATAAAAGCCATCCATCAATCAATCAATCAATCACTGGGTTTTTACTAGTATATCACTGACATTGCAAATCTCTACATGGTTGCTTGGCTAGACTGCATTAAGCCAACATATACTGCTTCCAGGAAGGCTCTCAAACTCTATTTGCCAGGTCCTATAATTTTGTAGTAATATGTCAAAATTGCTGACTCAAAAATTCTTCTGAGAAGTGTGGAAGAATCAACATAATGCCATGGATTGCATTTGTTTCTCAGAATGATTTATTAGCCTTCCAATGGATGATGAATACCAGTATCACCAGCAACAAATAAAGTTCAAACACTTGAGATCTTCCTGGAACTGCAGACTTCACAATATTTAAAAGGCACACCTGTGGATCCAATAGCAATTGGGTGTTTAATACTTTGTAGACCAGCACTAATAATGATTCCCTAAAAATATTAGATATTACACAGGACCACCACCTGTAACAGTACCAATCATGTCAAAATTAAAGATTTTCAGGATTTTCTGCAACAGAGATGCTACAGTATCACAATTTCTTAATGAAGGAAGAAATTGTCTTTAGATGTAAACCTTTTTCCTGCTTTCTTATACATTAATTATGCATTCAATTGGCAATAAACTACAACTTTTGGGATGGACAGACTTATATTAGTCTGCATAACTAGTTTTCCAAATTCATTTTTTCTCCTAAGTTTTCATTCAGTGAACAGAAGGCTCTCTTCTTTCAATGAAGAATAACTCAAGATCTAAGCCCTTATGCTTTCTCTTCCATAAATAAAACAATTTTAACTTGAAAATATTGAAAGAATAACATGCAGCCCATCCATCTTAGAAACAAACTACTTCTTTGAAATACTCAAAACAGCTCTCTATGCCAGGCCTAGACAATACTCTACCTGCCAGAGTGCAGTAATTTCTTGATGTGCCTCTACAAACACAGCATTAACAAGAGTTGAAAGCAGGATCTATATAGCATAGCTCAAGATAGAACCAAACCAGCACGGAATTCTATGCCAGGTAAGTGGGCTTGGACCAAGAAAGCAGGTCCAGCTTGATCCCTGCACCTGAATAAACTTTCTCCTCTAATGTTGATCACTAGTACCTGAAGTAAGAGCACTACTGTTCCCACATCAGTAGCTAGTTCTAGCACTAAACCCTCCATAGATAAGCAAATTCTTGCCTAGGCAAAGTAGCTTGGAGAGTCTTTAAACCAAAACAGATACTATAAACATGAAAAAAAGAACCAAGTAAATGGTTATAATCCTTTAATCTATTGCCACTAAGGCAAGCATGCAACAATAGATTCAGATACTGTGATAATAAGCAAAACGGGAGTGCAGGTGTTTGTTTGTTTGGAGCACTAGGCCTTTTTAATTTTTTTTCTTTGCATACACGTGCACAGACATACAAGACAGCCCTTCTCTCAATTTGAAACAGTAAAAAACTAATCCAAGACTTGTTCAAGCTGGTCATTTGATGAGATACCAGGCCAATCTGCATGGCAATAAATCACATAATGGCATTTATTTGCAACCCTTCCCCTAAAGATCTTAATCAGCTTCATCCAGATTTCTCTCCCCTAAGCCTGTACAGTACTCTGCAGTTGAAGGTGTAAATAAAATGCACCTGGAATAAATGACCCTCACTTGAACTCAAGTCTTGGTACAAATAAAGGCTAGACTGTCTGGCCATTTGGTTTTCATTGCTTATGGCTGAGGAGCTGAGTATAGTACTTAACATT